AGTACTCTAAAACATATAAATAAGTTACCCGGGCAATTGATTTGCATTAGCCAATCAGACGAATTTCTGCCTATGACTATTTTAATTGGCCAATTAATATAGATTACCCCCTGCATTAATATGTAATAATTTATATTTAGAATCAAAAAACGGATATCAGTAAAAAAAACTTTGAACTAAAATTATACCGAGTCATAATATAATAATCTCAACAAAAATTACTGCTACAGATAGAGCGTCTACTCAAGAATATAATCCGATAATTTGTCAATATTTGATTAAAAAGTCCCGAAGCCCCATAACGGTACAGACTGACCTATATATAGTATTCAATGGAACAAATACGTACGTACGTACGTATGCACATATCTAACGACAACAAAATTTTGAAATAACCGATAACCAATGGAATTATATGGAAAATTTGGTATTTCTGTACGTATGTATGCGCTTGCGCGTTATTTCGGATATGCCCATGTGTTATTTTGAAATAAGTTGTGGACCTGGATGATTGACGATTATGTATACCCGGTACAAAAGAATTAAATACGTACGTACGTACGTACGCAGTTATTCATGAATATATATAGCTTATTAAGTATTTTGGTTAATAACGCCAACAATAAATAGTACGTAAGCGTTTACAAACTTAATAGCTTATTTTAAATACTTGGACTAATAAATGTTGAGATCCTGATACATACCCGGCTAACCGTTATCACAAACCGAGTACAATCACTAGTTCTAAATACATATCCATATGTATATGTAAACTTTAAACTGAAATAATTTTATTAACTATATATCGATATATATATATATATATGTCAAAGAAATAAAAAAATCTATTCGACCCGAATTATAGCGCAAAATGTAACAAATTTGACTTTTAATTCAATTGTTATTTCTGAATTGTAATGTTTTTAAACATATATATAAATATATATATATAAAATATTGGATGTTTTTGCTATTCATTGTACAGTACGTATACGTAAGATTTTTTATTGTTAATAATATTAGGGAGAATGGGAATTATCTAGCTTCTAAGTTGATTATTCTTTAGTCAAGTTATTCCTGCTAACTGAGATTTAAAGAAATAGAGTAAATGGTGTAGTGATTATTTTTTCGAATTTTACGGTAACGATATCAGATAAGTAAATTTTAATAAAGTTCATAGATCCAAATAGAGAACCCAAAAATTTTAATATCGTAATAAATATTAAAAAAAAGTTTTTTTTTCTTACTGTTAGTAAACTTTTTAAATTTTAACTATTTACAAGACGATAAATTATTATATGGTATATATATAAATATATAATAATAACTAACGCTAAATAAATAACTCTAATGTTAAATAATATCAGCATTATATATATATTTTTTTGAAAGCATATTTATCAACATAAATAAGAATTAAATCTAATACTAATTGATCATTTCAATATCATAGCTAATCTCGGCATCATTATTATAATTTTCCTCCAGAATAGAATGATACCACCGTTTCTCATCTATAGGCCGTGTATGATCATTTTGTCGAATATCTTTTGTTAATCTTGATTGTAATAAACTTAAAAAATTTTTATAAGTCCAGAAATCTTCATGTGTCGGTTTATTTTCCACAACAATCTCTATCTTATTATTCTCAATTCTTTCACCTAATATCTTATTATCACTTGTATCATCATTATTAATAGTCCTTTTTTCTTTTTTTCCCTTATTTTGATTTTCATCTGGATCTTGCATACACTTGCCAAATTTTTTTGAATCATAATATAGAACGTTTTGATAAGCTTCAAACATTCCAAAAGGTAAGAAACAAACTTCACCTCTTGACAATTTTGGCTTTACATTTATAGGAAGAGTTAAGTAAAATATTATTAATTTTGCATATTTTGGTTGGATCGGACTTGTTGTAACATTGATCTCTGTTAGAGGTATTATATCAGGGTCTGATGATTCATTTGAATATATTATATTGGGATCTGATGATTGAGATATTATAGAATCAGAGGAAGTTGTCGGTATCAGTATATCAAAAATTTTAGGTACTAGTTTAGCATTAGAATATAGTTGCTCTTCACTAACAATATGAGTTAGCCTATGCAAGGATTGCATTAATTCATATCTAAATCCTTCCAACATTTCATTTTGTTGAGCAGTTAATTTTAAAGAATCAACATCGTCTTTTAAATGGTCGATTGAATTTTGTCTAAAATAACTTTTGCTGAATTTAAGATAATTTCTAGAAGCTCGTCTTAAATCTAAATTTGAAATTGCACCAAGAAATGAGGTTCTAAGTTGTAAAATTAAATCGCTCAGATGGATTCCTTCTTTTGATTTTATATGATCCATTTCTATCTTTCCGAGAGTTTTAATTGTAGGTAATTTAGAAACCGGAATTTGATGCCGACAATTTTCCATTACTAATATTTCAAGACCATTCCCAATAGAATCTAGATCACGATCACCATAAAATTTTTCATTTCTTGTAACAAATAATCCAGCATAAACGCTATCAGCTTCTAAGAAAGGTTTTAATCCCGAATTCGAATATTGAAACATCTTTTCTAAATAATTCTGCATTTGTCTTACAGAAATACCAACTTTTTGAGCCATTATTGGAGCTATTAATCTAGGATTAGCGAATCTAAAGCCTAATTTTTGAAAGTTTTCAATAATCCCTTTATCTCTATTTTTATTACGATATGGACATTCGGCGTTGTTATTTGAATATTTAACAATATTGTCAGAAGGTTTAATTTGTTTTACAATGAACAATATTTGACCTTTGTATTGTTGAGATGTTATTGTCTGTTGTTGAGAGCCATCACACAATGAAGAAAATGTAGACGAAGTTGACGTAGCATGTACATCGTTGAGATTTATTTTCTCAAGAGCCAAATGTTTTTCAGTTGATGATGATTCATAACCGGTGAAAAGGATTTGATCGTATAATACACCAGATTCAGCAAAAGGAATGTTTAGAGAATCGGCAAGTTGTCGAGCATTTAACATAAAGGATTCAATAAACATTGTAGAACGAGAAGTTTTGCGTTTGTTTTGTACTTTTATCTCATCACTGTGTGAAAGACTTAAATTTATTTTAGGTTGGCACAGCAAGTTATTATAAAAAAAAGTAATTAACGGTAATGTGTATATGAAAATTTACCATTGATTTACAGTTTCCCATTCATTTGACAATTGATAAATGGAATGAAATATTTCATCCTCTAAACTCTATAAAAATGAAAAAAATAACAAGCAAGTAAATTAAGCAAGTCTGTAAACTACAATATATAACTACAAAATATAGATAGAAATATATACCAATTGATGAAACTCTTCATTGTCACCGATTTTTACCAAGGGTAATAACCCTTCAACTGAAACCAATACCATTCCTTCTTCATTATATATAGCGGCACCTAAAGCAATTTTTCGCTCAAAAAGTTCTGTTTTTCTTGCGTAAATAACTATACCTATTAGGGTTACACATACGATAAGACAACCCAATGCTACCACTAGTAATAAAGAAAAGATGCATTAGATACATTAGATACATTAAATACAGAATTATTCACAAAAGCTGAGGAAATTAACTTACACCCAATAAATATATTATCATTTATGAAAAATTTATCTTTGACAAGTTTTCCAGTGTCATAATAATGGGTTCCAGCATATGCAGTAAAGTGCATTCCCCACACAGCAATAGCCATTATCATGGCAGTTCCTAATTTTTTATACCTTAATTAAAATATAAATAATTTTAAAACAAATATTTCATTAATAAATGAAAAATATTCATTATAATATTGAATCTATTGCCACTGTATATAATAATACTCAAAATCTTATTCAAGAACTCAATATATATATATATATATATTTATAGTTTTAAATTGAATAATATCCAGGGTATTTGTATAGAATCGGATACTGTATTTGGATAAATTGAAATAATAAACTAATATAGTTATCTTTATACCCCGAATATTAATCAAGAATTAAGGATATCATTTTATACATTTTATACACTTTATACACTTTATACACAGTGATATTTTATACTAATATGTTTGATAAAAACCTTACCAGGAATTTCTCCAAGTTGATTGAAGATTAAAGAAAATATACAAAGCAATGTTGGCAGCACTTATTCCTATTATTATACTCAAAATTAAATTAACCGTATCATAAGTTATGACAAATTCGGTAATAGCATATTGGCCGCAGTAATGCATAAATGCTATTTGTGACAAATATATACGTAATAAATTGAGAAAATATATAATAAGTTGACAAAGTCGCAAAAAAAATAAAAACGAAAAAACTAAGAGAGATATATACCAATACTAGCACCAGCCAGCGTTCCTCCTATTAAAATTCGTGTCAAGTCAACTTGTGGTTGGGCACCAATAGAATAGAAAGCTAGGCTTAAGACCACGATAGGAATGATTAATGATAAAAGCGTGTACCTGATTTATATATATTAATGAATAAATTGATTCTTAACGTTCAAATGATTAAAGAACACATAGGGAGGAGAGGGAAGAGTCATTAAACCAAATTTACCAAAGATTATAACGTAAGATTCTTCCACCACTTAGTACACATGCTCTCATTCCAATAAAATGCATTCCCCATATACCAACAAAACCATTACTAAACGCAGCGCCAATTAGTCGCAACCAATTCTTTGAACCACGTTGTGAAGATCGTTTTCCTAGTAATTCCAAAGTTGTAATCATTCCCAAGACAGAAATACAATATGATAGAAACACTATCCAGAAATTCGTTTCTTGTGGGATCTCAACCATTGTATTATTAGAAGGATCCATCTTAAATGGTATAAGGAATATTTTCGTTAAAAATATAAAGACGACTTTGGTAAATCATATGACGTGTCAATTCCAAATAATGATTTAAATGATTCAAATGATTCAAATGATTCGAATTCTTTTTTTTTTCGAAAAAAAAAAAATTAAAAAATAATAAAAAAAATAAAATAAAAAATGAAGGGAAACCAAGTGTATTTAAGGATTAATCTAATCTATATGTAGTAAAAGTGAAATGAGTTACTCCCCGCATTTGATAATAGGGATTATCGAATTGAGTAACCAACATATTACTATTTTTCGTAATTTTTATTTTTTTCATTATTAATCTCATGATTTTTTTATAAATTATTCTTTGTCTTAAAACGGGATCTTTAACCAAAACATGTATTAATATTCTAGATAGTAACGGTTTGTGCCTATTAGTGATTCAATGGTAATACACTAACCACTTGAGGAAATGTAGTTATTAAGTTCCACTAGTTAGGAAGCTATTAAAGCATTTGACAAGTTTGATTGAATAAAGTTATTTCTATTTATTCTGTATATATTTATTTATTCAGTGTTAATAAAGCTTAATTACAGTAAATCCCCGAGATTTCAACAAGTTATATATTATACACGTGCCATCGCCAATTCTTTCCATATAAAGACACTCCGATAAATTGCATAAATATGTACCCTGACCAATCGTAAATAACATATAAGATACATACGTCATACATACATAAATATTTAGCATAAATGTTTACATAAATACATACGTATGCGCATATATACATGACATGACAGAGCACGAAATTGAGATAATTTTATCATCGGTAATGCTTTTTTGAATCAAGAAGAGAAGAATTTATCAGGAGTAATTTGGGTTTCCGGTTTCTCCCCTGGCGGGAAACCTTATATAGGGGTAACCAATCAGCTTGCATAATTCACAAAAAGTTTTTTCAAGTATAAATTATTTATAAACGTTTTGATTTACTAATCATTTGGGAAATTCTAAATCTCGTACGTACGTACGTACATATGTACATAACTTAGAGTACATCAATTGATTATAAAATTGTAATCCTCGGTTAATAATATTAAATTTAGTTACGCAAGATTAGGTTAAGTAATAAATTTGTACGTCCATAATGATCGGCACCGCACTTCTTATAACCAAATACTGACTACCCTAACCAAATAGTGGCTACTGAATAACCGACTAAAAAGGTTTATTGTTATTGATGTATATAATTTAATTAATTATCAATAATAGCGTACGTTGATTGGTAGTTTATTATTGTGATGAAACTTTCCCGGCAATTATTCCTCAATTTCCCGATAGGCTTTCAGAATCTGTAATATTACTGTTAATTTGGATGCTGAGCTAATCATCATCTAGTCAATGAAATTGATCAGAATTTGCGGGTTGAAGTTCCCGGTGCAGGAATCCATCAGGTTTTTCCGAAAAATTGCATCTCAGACAATTATTTCAGTATTTTCTTGGCATAATCTTATATAATGCAGTAATGCTAAAAAAAAAGACTAGCCAGTGATTTTCATGTTTATAGCCGTTTCAAAACGACGTGGAACTACAAACTAGTCAATTGGTAATTAGTAAGCTCATTGATTAATTAACTAATTTAACCAATCAAATTTGTGCTCAGCTGATTGTAAAAACATTTAGCGTTAGTTGACTACATAGTCAATTAATAATCAACTAATAGTCGATTAACGACTTTATTCCTACCCTTAATAGGAAAATATTCAGCATAGCAATAGGTACGTACCTTCTTGAACACAGCTGTAAAATGTAATACATAAGTTGAATAATTATTGGAAATAATCGTTGGGAATCTTGTAAAAAAAAAATGATTCTCGAATACTTTATCGGGATATCGGAGAAATGATCGGAGCCCAAGTAAAAAATTTACGTATGCTACGTAATCATATGATAGTTTAGTTTTGATATTATTGCAACCTTTTTTTATTTATCGTTATCATAAAATGTTGTAACCTGGCATGCATGTTTATACTGTACGTAAATTGTCATACGTACATATTCCCGTCTTAGAAATTATTTGCTACTTTATCCATACATGGTTATAGTCAAATTATGACGAAAGTAAACGTATAGCGTCATCATTGTGATAATAAATAACATTAACGTGTAAGACGTGTAAAATAACAGGAATGTTGTCGAAGGATAGAAGAATTTAAGTACACAACCGCAAAATACGTCATTAAACCAGGACCCCTAATATTATGTAGACGTGATACTGCTACTTCTGTTAGGGTTGAGTTGCATAAAATTACACTTTTACATTACATGTAATTTTACCCAAGTTTCAGAAAATTAATTTCATCATGTTATGCATAAAGTACCAAATTTAGAAATTTCAAACTAAATGCCATGCGTTCAAAATCACAAATTACGAAACTTACCGCAAAATTACATCAAATTACAGTAATTTTACATTTCTAACTTCTGTATAATCGGACGAACCTACATACAGTAACATCCAAGTTCGTACGGTGTTTAAACGGGTTTTAATTTTAAACTCCAATCATTTAAGCGAGGGTTAGAGTAACCGTGAAAGATGCGCCAATCAGACCTCTTCGAATGTTAGGACCCTAGCATAAAAAAATTTTGTCAAACGTCAGGGCTTGTCGTATCGTTTTAATTTATGTTACACATGATCTTGAAATTTTTTAGGTTAGTGATGCAAGGGTGGTTCTAGATCGATTAGCACTATGTCGTAAGATTTTTAATGTGAAAATCATGCTTTTTGGAGAAAGAGAATACAAACATTTGGAAATTCTATGAACTACTTTTTACATTTTAGAAAAAAAAAAGTTTGTAAAAGTTTGGTATAAACTAAGCTTTTTGATTATGGAATTTTAATCCATCGCAGTGCTACTCCAATCAAAATCTAAAAACCTAAGATTTGATGTTACGAGAAATCAAAAAAAACCTAATGACTGGTCGATCAGGGGTAGCGATGCATCGTCTTGGCGATAAATAATCATTTTCTTTTCAATAATAATTAAAATACGTAGCAAAAAATTAAACTAATTTTTATAAGTGTTATTGTATAATTAAATTATTATACATGTAATTAATTTTGTTAATCTAATTGTTCGGAATGTAGTAGAGGACGATCTATGGTGTAGTGATAGACCATTGTATATGAATTTAGTGCTTGTAGTCGATTTTTGATTAAGCATATAGGAAAATAGGCTGTATAATAGTGAGTTGTCGGAAAAAATTCGGGATTTATTATTTCACATACAACAGTCCGATACAGGTAGGTCCGTCTCAAAGATGGGGGACATTTAAAGCTTGCACCTTCCGGTTTTTCCTTTAATATTAGGGCTAGGGTTATACATGACGCCCCTAGCAAAATTGTTCACCCCTGTAATTTTGACCAATCGAATTTCAGGATCAGGTGTAACTTTTTTACAAAAAAAAAAGAATAACTCTAAATTTAAATTATGAAACCACCATCTGCGGCCTAATTAAAATTTTTCCTCGTGATGTTTTATTAATATACAGTATAAACGTTATATAGTTCTAATCCTAACCCTAACTATAACACAACAAAACACGTTTGTTTTGACACCTGATCTTAAATTTTGATTGGTCAAAATTACCACCTAAAATGGTTATACATGGGTGTATAAAATAGGGATGATTTGTCCACAGTTCTCTGCCATTGGTATTAATTAGTACTCGAGTATTTACAGGGTCTGTAGTATTTTCGACAGTGTCTATATTGTTTTTGGTTGCCGAAATTATTATCGACTGCCGAAATTATTGTGGCTGCCTATATTATTATTGATTGCCGATATTATTATAGACTGTCGATATTATTATAGACTGTCGATATTATTAT